CCTCATGTCCCCCAGGACTGGGCTGTGGGGGGAGACCCCTGAGAGCATCCTCCTTCCTGAGGGCAGAGCCTGAGGCTGCGATCCTTGGTTGTCCCCTCACCTGTCACCACCAGCTCCAGGGGGTCACTGCGCTCTGACCAGCCAGTGGGGCTGAGATAGGAACACTCATATCTCCCTGCTGTGTGCTCTCTCATCTGTGTGACGGAGAACTTGGCCTTGTCCCCGGGATCCACTGGCTTCTGTTTGTCCCAGTGCATTGAGATCCTCTCTATCCAGACAGTCCTCCTTAGCCTCCAGGATCCCCTGATACCAAATAGTTCCTGAGCTCCCCCAGTGGATCACAGAACCTGGCTCAGCCCAGAGGGTGGGTTTGGGGAGGATCCCTGAAAGGAATGAGGGGTTGGTCAGAACATTTCCTACCCCCAGTGCCCAGCTCTCAGCCCCAAAAATCTCTGATGTCCATCTGTGATCCCAGAACTGACGTTCTTCATCCTCAACTTTCCAAGGACTTGTCTCCATTGGGGAGTGACACCTGGGAGCCCTGGGGACAGACTCACCTGCCTGCACAGGGGTCCTCAGGCCCACACGCAGCCCTGTAAGAGAGTCCCTGTCAGAGATTTGTTCTGAATCCTGAGCAGAACTGTCCTCCCCAGGAGCTTCCTGAGTCCTGGGGTCCTGACAGAGCAGGACCCCTCTCCCCCCTCACATCTCACCAAGGCAGAGCAGGGCCATGAGGGTGGGGGACATGGTGTCTCCTGTCTGAACACAGCTGTGCAAAAGGAAGAGACTACAGCGTCCTCGGTGTAGACAAACTCACAGGGTGTGGTGACTGGGAGGTTGGCCATCCCTGTCACGAGGTTGTCACGTCAACAGCCCCTGAGGAAGGGGACAGTGTCTCAGCAGGAGTTTGGCTCTCATTCCTGTGATGGAGGAAGAAATAGACCCTCAGCCTCCTGAGACACCTCTTGCAGGTGAGGTGACCCAGGGCACAGCCTCTCAGGTTAAAGTCTCTACCACCAGATCCCTTCACCCTTAACCCACATAACAGCCCCTCACTGTGGGTCCTCCCCATGGAAAGTGGTCACCCAGGCCCTGGAGATGCTTCAGGAAGACAGGGGTCCTTGTGCCTGCAGAGCTTAGATCAGCAGAGACAGTTTCCTCCTCACTGTGCAGTTCAGGAGAGTGTCACTGTGACAGTGAGGACAAAGGACAGACACAGGGAAGTGAGGGAAGGATGCACACTGCTTTCCCAGGCCCCAGAGTGAGGCTTTCTTTGTATCGCAGCCACCCTCACCCACTTCTCTTTTCTTCTTAGCAACAAAGTCCACCCACCTTCCTGGGGACAAGCCTCTGAGTGATCCCCGTCCCCTCAGTGCCCCTTGTTTCCTGGTTCAAGTCTCTTCCTCAATGTGTGGTCCTGCCTTCAAGCTTTAGAAGACACTGATTTGGGTTACAGTCCTGATTTTTACTTAAAGCAGATGTTTACTTAAATACTCATCATCCAATGTCCATGTGTCTTTGACTAGTAATGTCCTGTCTCTGCCTCAGTCTCCTCATCTGGATAATGCTGCTGCAAATCCCAGTCCCCACAGTGGTTGTGAGTCAGTGGATCTGGTTCATGGGAGGGAGACTTCCATTTCCAGATGAGATGAAGACGTGAGTGGATGGGAACATGAGAGGATCAATATGTCCAGGGCCAAGGCAAGACTATTGGATCGCTCGAGACCTTGTCTGCTCTGAATACCAAGCCCAGCTACTCACAACAGCTCTACAGTATGTAGGCACAGACACATGAAGGAAAAAGAAATGTTCCCAAATAGAGAGGAAACCAGAGTGGAGAAGAGAGACTGACACTGAATGGGCCCAGTAATCAGAACTATCCACGAGTCATAGGAAGGGAATCCCCCCCTGAGTGGACAGAGAGGGACCCCAGGTCCTCACAGGAAGAAGGTCAGGGAGCAGGTGAAGGCTGGAAATGTGGTCCCTGCCCCGTGTTTCAGTAGAGGCTCTGGGATGTCTCTGCCCACTCACCCAAGTTATTGGTCAGCAGTAAGCAGTCTCCCCATGTGTCCTGAAACAGGCTGAGTCCAGTATGTCAGCCATGGGTGTCTGTCCCATGTGCGTGTGAGGCTCCCATTGGACCACCCTGGTGGGCAGGAGGCTGAGTAATTGCTGAGTCTGAGAGAGAGAGTGGCAGGACATAGGGAGTCACAGTTCCTGCTCAGCGTGGCTTCCAGGACAGCCCCAGAGAATCTGAGGGAGACCAGGTGTGTGAGGGCAGAGACTTCCTATAGGAGTGGAAAGTAGAGAAATCCTAATGGTGACAGACAGTGCTATGGACACCGTCTGCTGACATGGGGACTGTCACATGCAATGAAAGAGAGTGAGTAAGAAATATGAGACCAATGGAAGATGATCATGTGTAAATATCTGAAAAGTAAAGGCAAGATTCAAATTCTGAGCCAATATGAATTGTTTTATGTAGGTGAACATAATGATTTAGAAACCATAGAGATGAGAAAACCCAATAGATGGACACATGAAAATAATTCTTCCTATCAAGGATGAGACAGAGCTGAAAGGCTATTTATGACAATGGAGTACAATACAGAGGAAATTTCCACAATGCAGCACAGAGAGACCAGAAGTGGAGACTGAAAATACTTGGGGACTATAGTGAGGAGGGTGGACATCATATCTATGGTGTCAGAAAGAAAGAAGTGAGTGAGATATTTGGTAACAGCTCAAGAGATAAATAATCAAACATTTTACTGAGATGAAGAAAGACCAATCTAGTGTTAGGGGGCAGGTATATAAAAATGAAATCTATATCTTCACTTTTTGTGGTTAATGAAGATAATGAAACTCAAATAAAAACACAAGAACATATCCTACACCCAACTTTATGCATCAGAAATGGTTCATTTGAGGCCCTAGCTGGGTCATTCAGTGGGTTAGAACATCATCCCAATATCCAAGGTTGTGGGCTTGGTCCCCAGTCAGGACACACACAGGGAGCAACAGCGGATGCCTCAGTAAATGGATCAACACCTGATGGCCTTTTCTCTCTTTCTGCCCCACCCCTCAAATCAATACATAAAAAAATATTTTTACATGGTTGATTTCATTTTAATGTGAATTTCAACTCAAAAATGAAATCATAGAGGAATGGCCTGAGATCCTAAAAAGTCCTAAAATTATTTCCTAGAGGAAGTGCACATCACCATGGTGACAAGCTCGCTGGGACCAGACTTCCTCATAACAAAGAAGACAACAGGACGACAGTGGGGACACACCTTTCAGGAGCAGATTGTTAGTGAAGATTGTGCACTGAGCCCCATTAGCTTTAAGGGACAAAATGAATGTGTCAGGCAGGTGAGTCCCTAAGTGGGAACCTGTGTCTCCTCCCAACCCCACCCTGTGAGGCTGTGTCTCCAGGAGAGAGAACAGATTTCTGGGAAGAGAGCCTTAACCACAAGAAAAGTTTTTCTCTCCAAGGAGTTGAATCACCCACTTTAATTGAAATGGTAAAATGTTTCCTAGTTCCTTGATAAAGCACATGAGCCTGAAACAAGGCATTTCCAGAGAAGCAAGTTTTTAGATATTTTCATATTTTCACACTTGGTGAAAGGAATAGAAAGTGATGTAATTCAGTTAGAAAAACAATGACACCAAACTGGAGAAAGTGAGATGCAAGAGTGAGGGAAAGTGGCAAAAAAGTATTTTAAAATACATTTTAAGTCTATCTTGTGACCCAGACACTTATATAATATTTTATGTCAACTTTATTGAGAAATAAAACTTATCATAAAAGAGGGAAAAGAGGTCACATGCCACATGGATGCATCTGAAGGACAAGTAAAAGGAACAATCACAGAATAACAAAACAAAACAAAAGCTACATGCAGATTTGTCAACCCCATCAGAATTACTACTGGACTACAGAAAAAACATCATCCAGAACTTCCTGCATTCTAGCTGAACAGAAGTCCCACAGCTAAGGGTGCAAAGAAGAAGCCACATGGAGACTAGGAGACACAAAACGGGCTGCTCCCACAGCCACATGTGGCAGACAAGAGTCAGGAGGGAGAGCTGTTGAGTCAGGGGACGGCTGGAGTCCCAGGCAGTTCCACTGACAGGACCCACACATAGACTTACTCAGACTTACTCCCTCTGAGCTCCAGCCCTGGGGCAGCAGCTTGAAAGAAAGCAGGGACACAGAAACATGAACTGAGTTGCCTGACCTCAGGGCAAGAGGTAGGGGAGCAACTTCCTGCCAACAGAGGTACTGACACAAGATATGGTTCCTTTGATGAACCCTCGCTACACACAGCTGGCAAGCAGGTGACATACCTGAGTCTCTATCTACCTGGATAACATTCTTCCTAACACTGTAATGACTCTCTGAGACTGCACCACACACAACTCGGAAGCCCACCCAAGCTTTCTGTTGTGACTTTTCCATAGGGGTGGCCTCTGTTGCCTCACACTTCACACTTCCCTGAAAATTATCAAAGCAGTAGCACCTGAACCCTAATCAATGTCCTTGTGAATGGTGCCCATGTACACATGTTCTCTAAGGCAGGTACTTAAAGGTAGAGCTGTGTGTCTCTAACTAGGAAAGTGTAATGTATCCACTCAATTGGTGACTATAATTTGCACTCCTACAAGTGATGCATTAGAATTCCATCTGCTCACTGTTCTCTCCCCCAAGGGATAGTAGGATTTTCCCCTCGGCATCTCACCTGGATGCGTCAGGACTGTGGTCTCTACTTTTGTGGAAAATTAGTTACACCACTAAAGTAGGAATTATCTTTACACATAAAAGGGAAGGAAGCTTAGGTGCACTCTGGGGCTGTCAGACTGGTGTGACTGGTGTCCCACACTGGCCTGTACAGGCTGTGAAAGTCAGGTTGTGAGTCACTTCCCAACTCTGCATCAGAACCTCACAGAGGTACCTCCAAGTTGGCCACAAAGAAAACATACATACCAGAAATGGGAAAATGCCAAAAAACCAGTGTTTTATTAAGTGGAATTCAGTTAATCAGTAATAAAATTATATAGGTTTCAATGTACAATTCTCTAACACATTATCTGTACACTTCACTATGTTTTTAACAATGGGTTGTTCTCAAGCAGTGCAACTCAGCTGATCCCTTCAAATAAAAATGGTTTGATTTACCCCAGGCTGGTGTGGTTGAGTTGGTTGGAGCATCGTCCCATAACCAGAAGTTTGTGGTTTCCATTCCCAGTCAGGGCACATACCTAGATTGCAATTTCCATCCCCTATCCAGGCACATATGGGAAGCAATGAATCAATGTTCATTTCTAACATTCACATTCCTCTCACATCCATATATGTCTCTCTCTCTTCTACCTCTCCAAAAAAAGCAATGCAAATATCTTTCCTTCCAAGGATACAATAGCCTTGACTCAGAGTGAGGAGGTTCCTAGGGAAAGTCCACAGGTGCCATCTGAGGAAAGGTGAAGGCACGCGGGGTCCAGAGAGGGTGCTAGGGCATCATTTGAGATTTATCTCTGTGGGCTAAATGTTTGTGATGCCAGCTCATGGATTCATTAAAATAGAATGCATGCTGTGAACTGAGTGGATGGGCACTTCATATGAACATCAAGGCAGCTGTAATTAGAAACAGAGAAGAACAAGTTTTCTGAAAGTGCAGGGAGGTGTGGATGTGACCATGCCATGTGGGACCAACGCTAAATTAACTGAAATGGGAAAAGGTAGGAACCAGTCACATGACTCAACAGTGGTTGGGAAAGGATGGGCTGAATTTAATGGAAGAAGTATCTAGACCTTCTCCTCCTGCATATGACTAAAGGGTCCTCCACATGCAGTGAGATTCATATAGGTCACACAGCACATCCCAGATTATCTTCCACAACCTTGTGGGGACATGACTTCATTTCCAAGGTTCTTACTCTGACCAGTGCTCCTTTAGCTCTGTGTTCAGGTCTTGGCAGCAGCCTGGGCCATTCTCTCACTGTCTTGAGCCTGAAACAGCAGGACTCCGAGGACCACCAGGACCAGCAGAGCCATGCCCATGTGGATGAGATTCCCCACTGTGTAGTCTTGGGGGTGGGAGTCTAGGAAATGTGGACAAAGATGTCACAGAGGTCGCAGCAGACAAAGTCATCCCCCAGATCCTGGATGCCCAACCAGCACACTAGTCTGACCCTGACAAACAGGACCCTCTGCACCCAGCCCCACAACTGAGGATTCTCCTGCTCACCACTCGTGTTATCTGAGCTGTTGTGTGATGGGCTGATGGTGTCAGCTGCTCCTTGAAAACCATAAAGAAGTGGGTGCGTGAGGAGTAGATGCCACTCAAGCCAATTGTTCTCAAAACTCACCCATTCCTCATGATGTGAGTGTTTCCAGCCCCTTTGTGGATCCTCTTGAGCCTGGTGCCCCCTCCC